CAGACTAGAATATCTAATTATTACCTATTAGCTGGTTTTGTTGTCCGCTGTGAACAGGAGGATAGTGTACCACATATCTTTTAGAAACTGATGGTATATTTTATACCAAAAAAAGGAAAGCATTACATCATCCCATACAAGACTAAATCTATCAAAATGAAGATCTTTATCTGAAGCAATGATTTACAGGCTGCAACAAATGGAACTTTCCCAAGCTGGTTGTAGAGGGGTTACACTTGAATTGTTGTAAGACTAAGGAAACAAGACAGCTCCTCTGTATCACTAAATATCAATTGGATGTACAACTAATAAGTTTTGTAACTTTGTAAGTATCCTACTTATTTGGAAGCCACACTGTGAAAGGTGTGCTTTTGGATTTCACTGTTCTCTCTAGTCATTAACCATCTTCATTCATTTGCATAACTACACGTGAAAATATCACAAGATCAGTTTCAAAGGCATGCCCAAGCAAAACTGTGAACTGGTAGCCAAGCACAATTTTTACAGGATGGTGCAATGTTTGGCAGTGGTGCTTGATTCCCTAACTGGTAACTGTAAAGGAACTACTGAAATACCAAGTGTCTAGACTGGTATCACCGTCAGAATGAAAACCACTAAACTTGGTACTTCATAAAACAAAGGCAAACCCCACGCCTCTGTTGTGTAATATAAACTAAGAAAGAACTAAAGCTTGATTATCTAACTGATCATGATGCCTCCTTCCCACCCTGCAAAGACCCACCCAAGCAAGCCCTTGCATTAACACTTATTTAAGTGATAATCTAACCTCCTTCCAATATTCTTTGCTTACCCATTAGTAAAAACACCATAGTACTGTGTTTCTCCAGTAGCAAATGGCTGCTCATTACCTTCTACAAAATTTTTAAGCCATTGCAGTCTAGGGCTGTATACATGGAAAGATGAAATTTTAAAGGTCTGAATGGTCTTCTCCCTAACATGTTATCAAGGATGCATGCTGCATCTAGAATTAAATTTTCTCAGTCTTCAGCATTACGTAGAAGTAACATTTGTCTTTGTAGACAGAAGACCAAAGCTAAATTGTGTCCTCTGCTTACTTTGGGCAAAGCATAACTTTGCTTCCTCTTTCAGTTTTTCTGATGGGTAACTCGTTGCAAATTGTAATCTGTGCAGAAATTACCACACTTTACTGAAAAAGCCTCCTTCCTAACTGATCTAGAGAAGAAATGAACTGTAAAGAAGAGCAGCTTGGAGGTCACAGTCTTCTTTCGTAAAGGCTAACAGAATGAAGTGTCACAACTCTCTCTCTTCACCATCATCCCAGAAGACTGCAGAGCTGGGTACAGTTACATTCTGTATCTACAACTGCTCTATCAGGATTTTGGCATGGAAAAAGCCTCAGTTCTGCATAACCAAAAAACTGCTATGACAAACATCCCTTACAGAAATTGGAACAGTAATAAATACTAGGATTTGAAGGTTTCTGTTAACAAGATTTTAGTACAAAAACTGTTGTTTTATAGTGTATCCATAACTGCAAGAAATACTGTTTGCAGGTTAGTGTGGAAAGAAAAAGTAATCACAACACATATGACAGCAATCACTGAGACCACTGTCAGTAATCTTAGTTCTTTTCACTCATTTACTCTGAGTAAAGCACTTTGCCATTCCATTATTGAGTATACTACTCCATATAAATCAAATGCAGCCCATCCTACAGCACAGCTACAACTTTTCAGTTACCTTGAACTTTCTCCCATTCAGCAAATGCTGTTAAACAGCACATCCCTGAAAGAGCTTTGCTGGCTCTGGTGGAAAATAGTAACTTTGGCACATTTATAATTCCCCCACCAATTCAATTACAATTTACCTTTTTCCACATGGAGCTTTTTTTTTGTCTTGTTTCCTAATGATGTAAATCTGGGCATGCAACTTTGCCCTGCATTCCCACTGTTTTTCACTTAATTTCATACACATACAGCAAGCAAGACTTTTAATTTTTTTTAATTTACAGTATTGATTGCTCCAAATTATGCCTTACTGTTGGTACACAGTAAATACATTCTTCTGAACAACCTAGTATGAAAAAATGCAGGTAAAACATTAAAAATACTGCTTTACAATGTGCGAAACAGAACCTTCAGAAGTAACGATGGTGGCTACAGCCAGCACAGTGGAAGACTGCTTGATTCTGTCTTTTAGTCTGCCAGCACATTCATTCCTGCACCCCTTCACCTGAAACTTCCTGTACCAATGAATTTTAGGTGAATGTTTCTGCTGAATTTAGAAGATTAAGTAACTCTCAGCTTGGCCACTAGCAGCTGTACTCCCAGAACAGGATGCTTTCTCTTACACTAAGAATGGCTGTTATCAGTAGATTTACTGAGCCAAGGGCACCAGTAACACATCAAAACTGGAGATGTTTCTGAAGGGGAGTTGTACTCCACAGGTGCATGCAGCTGTCACAGTCTGAATGAATTAGGTAACATGCTTCCCCTAGATAAAAGACAAGTGGCTGGGCACAACTGGCAGTTCACAAATAGTACTTAAATCAGATGAAATTCCTGTTCATCACAAGCTTTAGACAGATTAATACATATTGCAACACCTAGCACTGATTAAATTTAGAAAAATATTATACTGGGATTAGTTTTTGTTTTTTTCAATAGCCTTTGTTTTTTGTTGTTAATGTAACAGACGAATGGCAGAAGATGCCAAAAAGGACCCTGCTTTTTGATGTTAAAGAGCTGAGCTGTCAAAGCTATTACGCTGCTGATGATTACTCATTTGATTATTTACATACTTTTTTAAACAATGAAGAGGCAGGAAATGTTTATTTATTTTCTTTTAATTTTTATGATCAAGGATGACTGAACCCAATTACATAGTCTTTGTTAAGTTAATGGCTGCCAAACAAGTGTGTACTCCAGTGACCCACCAAGAGCAAAGTTATTTGATGGGTGATTTTAAGGTTAGACACAGCACATGTAAAAATAGAAAGTTTAAAAACCAATCTCATCACAGACATTTCCATTGCCATCTCCTTTGTGAAATAAATAAGGCAGCAGATAACTTTTACTTTGCAGTGGCAACTTTGAGGTATGCTATTAAGTCTGCTCTCTCGCCCTTCTTCTTAATACCCGCAAAAATCATCTTTGTTCCAGGAATATACTTCTTTGGGTTTTCCAAATACTCCATCAGAGTATCCTCACCCCAGGTGATACCTAAAGAAAGGTAAAAAAAAAAAACAACAAACAAAAGAGTTAATAAATTCAAAATAGTAAACACTTGCATTCTTGTCCTCTGCTCAGTTTTTTATAATTATCACCAAGAACTGAGTATTTTTGTCCCTTAAGGGCAGCTTTAAGTTTACCTTTGTTCTTATTAGCATCCGTGTAAGAGAAACCTTCGGCTTGCCCAGTCTTGCGTCCGAACAGGCCGTTCAAGTTGGGTCCAGTCTTATGCTTGCCTCCCTTTTCAACCGTGTGGCACTGGGAGCATTTCTGGACAAAGATCTTCTTGCCTTTCTCGACGTCTCCCATTGTCAGTACTAGACCAAGAACACACACAGAGGTCAGTATTGCAACTTCAAGGTCACTAGCTGAGCTGAAACTCTAAAAAGCGTCCTGCAGGTTTACAAAACCACCATGTGCAGCACGTGAATCTGGCAATGCTCCAGCACACTGTCTACCCTCAAGCCACAGCTCCTGGGCTTGAAGATTAATATGGAAGCATGAAACAACCCTAAGGGTATCAAGGTGATACATAGGTTTTCCTGCTTGAAGGGCAGGAAAAACCTTCCCTCGAATAAGATAATTGCCCCACAGCATTTAAAGGGTACAGCGACAATTTCTGAAGAACAAATTTGATATAACTTGTACAGCTGTAACTGGAGTTTCCTAGTCGTGAACGACCTCGTGTAAAAGCAGAGGACTCTCGGCAGGCTTTTCCTCTGCAGCTGAATAAGCGCACCCGCCACGCTCCCGGGCAGGGCCGGAGGGCGGCGGGCACCGGGCTGTCACCGTGACCCGGGATGACCCCGGGGTCCCGCCGGCCGCCACGCCTGAGGAGGCGGGAGGGCCCAAGGCCGCCCGCGCCGCCCGGCTCCGGCTCTACCCAGGCCGCGGCCCCGGGAACGGCGCTCGGGACGGCGGAGAGCGACGCCCGCCCGCCCCACGTCCCTGCCCGCCGCCGCCACCGCCGGGGCCCAGCCGCACCTGCTGCCCCGCTGCGCCCTCAGACACGGTGACCGCGCCGCCGGCACCTCCCGCTCCGTCTGCGCCCAAGGACACGCCGTGCTCCGCCCTATGTAACCCGGCACCGCCGCAACCAACCCCGCCCGCGCCCGCCGCCCGCCTTTCCGCCGCGACAGCCAATCAGACGCCGGCCTCTGCAGTGCTGATTGGTGACAATCAGCTGACGTCACGCCGCCGGCGGCTAGTGGGGTAGGTTGCGACCGGCGGGCCCCCGGACTTCCTTCCTTCCTGCCCCCTCTTCCCTCCAATCGCGGCGAAGTGACGTCAGACGTCGCTGTGCTGCGGAGGGGGCGCGCAGCCGAGGGGCGCGGGTGTTGCGGGCGCATGCGCACGGCGCAAGTGGAAGCAAGGGTCGCGCGGCGCCCTGAGGCGGTGACGGGGCGGTGGGCGGGGCCGGGCCGGCCGGGCCGTGAGGGCGGGAGCGAAGGGCGCCGTGACGGGGTGGCGGCAGCGGGGAGGCCGGGAAACACCTCCGGTCACCGAGTGCGTTCCGTGGAATGAACGCCGCCGCGTCACTTACACCGGCGCACTAAGTGCCGTGCCCAGTCCTAAACACATCCAAGGAAAGCGACTTCACCCCTTCCCTCCTCAACCCATTCTAATGTCTAATCACCTTTTCTGGGAGAAATTCTTCCTGAACCTCCCCTCGTGTAATTTAAGACGGTATCACGGTATCCTCCAGTCGCTGGGCCCATTCTAATGTCTAATCACCTTTTCTGGGAGAAATTCTTCCTGATGTCCAACCTGAATCTCCCCTGGTGTAATTTAAGACGGAATCACGGTATCCTCCAGTCGCTGGTTGCCTGGGAGAAGAGGCCAACCCTCATGTGGCCACAGCCTCCTTTCAGGCACTTGTAGAGGGGATAAGGTGTCCCCTGAGTCACCTTTCCTCCAGGCTAAACACCCACAGCTCCTTCAGCTTTTCCTCACAGGGCGTGTGCTCCAGACCCTTCACCAGCTTGTCCATGAGTTTTAAAAGCTTCTCCAGGGTAGCCAAGGGAGTAAGGAGTGGAAGTGTTGCCGAAGTGAGGCGAAATCCCCCCGCAGATGGCAGCCAGGGCCGCCGGCCAGCATGGCCCCATGCGGGCTGGAGGGGAGCGGGCGTGCAAGGAGTGGAAGTGTTGCCGAAGTGAGGCGAAATCCCCCCGCAGATGGCGGCCAGGGCTGGAGGGGAGCGGGCGTGTGGCCGCATCCTCCATCCGTGTGGGACGCCAAAGCCACGCTGCTCCGGCAAACACGGGAGGGTTGTGGAAGGGACTGCCACACGAAGGGATGGGAGCATCCCAAACGCCAGCCCAGCAGCGTGGTAGTGCTCAAAGAGGACATGTCGGTATTCACATGTTGTGGCCTTCCGAGCAGAATTGGAACGGTGAATTCCAGACACGACTGCCATCTCACTCTCCTTGGCAAGGAGGAGGAAGAGCTGTTGGAACAGCCCAGTGTAGTAATGTCCAGCATTCAAACTGTTTGCTTTAACTAAGAACATTAAAGCTGTAAGAATTTTCCACTGTCTGACACTGGAAAAACATTTATTTTCTGTGTGTGCTTTTATGTTGTCCTGGAACTGGTGTGGGTGTGCCCCTGTAATTGCCCATGAGGCAGGGCTCATGTGAACAGTCAACATGAAGCAGAAAGATGTGAGGACTGTAAAAATATATCAAGGGTTCCTCTGATGGCAGAATTTTGTAGATAATTCACAAGACCATTCAGAAATCATCACTCCCTAGTTCAGACAGTGCATTACCTTCCAAAGCTCATGGTGTCTAGAGCACACGACACAGGTTTTGTGCATTTTTAAACACTTCATCACAAGGTATATACAAAGTATGCATTCTTAAACTTTTAACAATTTATGTTGTAGTCTTATTGACAGTTCACTGGCCACAGTAAAACTGTTTTGCTTACGATATACAGATAAATTCATGTATTTCATGAAGAGTGAGGCAATATGTGCAATGAAACCACTTTAAATCAGGGTCTTGAATTCTGCTGTTGTTGCCCAACTCAAATCTCAAATCATGTCAGACTCCCATAATTGTGAGGTTGACTGGAAAAATACTATTTTAAAAACTTAAGGCATCCTCTGTTTCTTTTATTTGCTGTTTGGTTTTGAGCCTTCATGGTGCCTTTCACTCTCGTTTTTAGACTTTTTACCATGATTGTAAGGACTGAGTTTCATTTAGTAAGGCTTGTGTGTCTTAAATGATTCCAAGGGCCAGATGTAACTTAATATCACAAAACTCATGATAAAACCATGTCTCTTCTATCTCTAAAGGAGGTAGCTGAAAGCTGCTTTAAGCTGCTCTAAGAAATTGCACCAGTGTAAATTCTTAAGCCTCTTTAAGGCCTTGTTGTGGCCTGATGTGTGCTGACATCTATTCAGAGGTTCTCCCTTTCTTCACAGAACATAAACTTCAGGCATCTGTAGCTCTCTTAATTTCTGTTGCATTTTGCCTTTTAAATATGTATGCTCCATTCTGAGAATTGCACGTTGTGTGCCACAGTTAATCCTTCTGATGTGGAGGGACACTAGTAATATTTTTTTCAGTTTTTTTCCAAGAAGCTGTTCTTCAAAACTGCAGCTTAATTCAAGACAACTGGATGGACTCAGGATATAATACTCTTTCCTGAAGGTGTAAATGATACAGAGTATTAGTAGGTTCCCATACTGTATTATTATTGGAAGCAGAGGTACTGATATATCAAGATAGTAGGTTAGGGGATGTGTTTTCACCAGTAAAAAGAGATATCTCAATTGGAGAGGATTTCTCATATCTGTTTGAGCCCATTTGGGCATTGCTAAGGGTGGATCTGGGGCAACACTGTGGTAAGAACTGACCTGTAAGCAAAGTAGAAGGTGCAGGAAAGGGTGTTGTTCAAGGTGCTCAGTATTTGCTTTTTGAAGTGTTCTGTGCTGGGACAGACCAATAGTGAAATTTTTGGCTTCTCTGCTAAATGTGGCATCTGCAACATACGTTGCAGATATGTGTGAAATGTGTGTGAAGTCCTGCATCTTCCTGTGTAGGGCAGAGTATGGTGTGGGACTTCCAGAGGCAGCACTGAAGACAAAGGCAGGACTTTCCTGGCTTTGTGGGTTTGAATTGCTGCAGTAAACTAAAATGACTCGGGGTGCAATTCCAGTGCTCTATACTTTACACACATTAACATTCATTAGACTGCCTTGGTGTGGTTTGCCTAGAAGGCTCATATTTTAGTCTTTCAGTTATTCACTGTGGTTACACCTGGAATACTTTTTCCTAGCTTAGGTCGTTGCACACTGGAACTACAGAACTATTGCAATCAGAATTCTGTGTGTAACTCTATGTAATTCTGTCCCAAATGAAGGAAAAATAAACCCCCCCTAATGTGTCAAGTCGAATAATAAACAAAACATGTCAAAAGAAGCATCCAGATCTCTTTACGAGGCACACTGCAAATAAAAGAAAAAAGGTAACCCTGCATTATGGACCTAGACTGGAACTCAGGAGAATATGTGATTTATTTTTTTTTTCTCAACTCTGTACTAAACTTCTGGTTTGGTCTTTGACAAAGAACTTAGAACCCATTTCCTGTGGAAATCATCACCTCATCCCTGAGCAGCTTGAGCACCTTGGCCTGTTTTCATCCCCTTACCGTGTGGAAGTGGGACAAGCCTGAGCTGTTGCTGGTTATCAGCAAACTGTGCCAGCACTGGGGAGTGTGTGATTTGTGTTGGAGTCCTTGTGGTGTGAGCTGGTTCTTAGAAACTGTTTGAGTTATGACCTGAGTCATAAATCTTACCTCATCACAAAGCAGTACTGACTGATTTGCACCACTGTGATTTCTAAACTGTACTGAAGCAGTTCAGAAAACCTGTGGGGTTTTTTGTTTTTCTTCTGATTTTATCTTTGCCTTTGGAATTGTTCGGGGGGAAAGGTATATCTCCTCTTGGGTTTTTCAAAGCCCAGTTTATAAAGATGAAAGAGTTATTCTGGGCTGAGCTTGAAAAGTTTTTTATGCTGGTATCCTTCAGAAAGGAATATTCTGCAGTGGCAAATGTATGGGTTCAGGGTTACTTTTCTACACTCTTATGGTACAAGTCCTATCACTTGCAATATACTGCTGGCTTTATGTTTATTATGTCTTTTACAGGCTGTTCTGGAGGAAGACAGGAACCTGTTCACCCAAACAGGTAGGGAAGAAAGTTGAAAAGCATTGGAGACTCAAAAGGAAATAAAAATGCCTGATGAATGGTGTGCCTCTAATCTCTACTGCTTGTACAGTCTAAGACAGAGAAGCCAGTTTTGCTGCTGCTTTAAACAGTTGCGAGGGCAGTCTCTGAGAAGCTGCAGTTCCTAAAGGTGACTGTATTCCTTCTTAAGATAAAGCTAAATATTGGCCTAGCATCTACTTTGGTGTAATATTTTACCAAACATTTCTCGGGTTTATTTTAAGGACTGCTTTTTGTTATTTCTTGTGGCAGTGTATTTATTCTTTGTGCAGTTGTCTTTGACAATGTTGTGTTTTGGTTTTTTGTTGTTTTTTTTTTTTATGACAAGTGTTACATTGACTTGAGTATCTGGATTACATTCAATGCTTAATTGCTATTATTCAAAAGGAAAAATTATTCCTGCATTTTAAAGAACTTCTGATGTACTGTCTCATTCTTATGTTATAAAGACCAATTATTTGGGAGTGGGACATAAAAATATTTTCCACAGCCAATGTGTAAAGTGGCAGTTAAAAGAATTGATCTTGACAGAGGAAGGCAGAACTTGGAGTTCTTTCTGCTGTTCCTGTGTTTTTGGAGAGGGGGTTTTGTGAAACTGTGAAAGCAACTACTTGGCACTAAGGGACATAATAATATCTCTTAAGTGTTAAGTAATGAGAATTGCCTGGCCAGGATCTTGTAGGTTCCACTTAGGCACAGGGTGAGGCAGTGCTGCTGAGCATCGTAATGGGCTGTAAAAGAAATTTCAGTAGGCAGAGGGAGAGACAGCAGCCAATCCAGCCAGAGTGGGAAGCTGGGAGACTGCCAAGCTTTCCTAGCTGAATCAATTGCACAACCATTATAATGCCAGGGCTTACCAAGTGATAAATTTACTGATGAGTTTAACAGGTGTGAAAATAACAAAGTACTTTGACCATCCTTTGGTACTGTGATTCTAAGCCTCAGGTATGAAGATTTATTCAGCAGCCATTTATTGTATGATAAAGTGTCCCCAGGACTGGGGTAGGTAGAAGTGTCTGTCATTCATCTGGCCTGTGGGGAGCTGTGTAGATAAGGAGATCCAGGGTTCAGAGTCACTCTTTGTCACTTAAAACAAACACAGACCTCAAACTGAGGACATGGACTCAATACCTGCCTTCACTGTGTGGAGATACAGGGTTGCCCTGCTTGAGCACTTCCCCAGTAGCTGCCTGCAGACTGATAAATGCCTTCTTATCTGTGGGCTCACTGATAAATAACCTTGGGCCTCAAAATAAGATGTGTGGGATACAACTTCTCTGTAATAAGATGATGGTTTGAGACAAGTCAACACAGACATCTTGTTTGAATGAGCAGTGAGTATGAAACATAGGTGCATGAAGTTGGGGTAATTTGCAGTGAAGCATGTAATAGCAAGAAAGGACTGAATGCAAGACTTGGCCTAGGATTGGACTGCATCAACTTCTGGTTTACTATCAGAAAAATCATTCTGAATCCTTATAATCCAGTTTCCATAGTGAAAGTAGGTTAAAAAGAGAGGTGATTCAAGATAGCAATTTAGGAAAAAAAAAAACAAAAAACAAAAAAACAAACCAAGCTTTTTTAGTTCAAGGACAAAATTAATTAAGTTAACCAAGAAGGTCATTCACATTTGAAAGATTCAGGACTCAGCAATTTTCCAGAAGTTTAGCTTTTCTTAAAGACATAATCTTTCTTTGGAAAAGAACTTAAAAATTAATTTTAGGGCTTCAAGAAATGAAAGTCAAATGAAAGGAGATTCTTTTATCAAGTCTATTATGTTTTTAAATTTAGAGTTAGTCTCATGCTGTTGTGGAGTCTGCCACAGTTTACTGGAAAGCTTAAAATAATAGAGGTGTAATAAATGTCCTTGAACATTGTCTGAAATTCTGATTGCATTTGACAAAAAACATGCTACAATAACAGCAATTTCTACTGGCCTCAATTTCAACTTTTGGATGGCAAGTAGTTAGTCAAAACTACCCAATTTTCCTTTTTTTTTTTTTTTTTCTTTTTTTTTGTAATGAGTCAAAACAGTTGGAAGAATTACTGGAATATCCTGTTTGGAGGGGATAACAGTTACATTAATAACACATTTGCTTTGTGTATCCATGATCATCTGGGATGTAGTCTTCTGAATAATCCAAGCTGTAGAGTGAGAAGTGCCTCTGCAACAGCCTAAATCAGACATTCTGAAATTAGTCTCCAAAGCATCAACTCAGCCCCATGAAAAGCTTAAAATTAAGAATCCTTTTGTAAGGAGATTTGTATGGTTGGGTCTCCTTATGTAATGATGATGTGCTAATTTAATGTAATCTACTAAAGCCTATGCAACTCTTGTGTCTAAGGTATAGGCAGACAGGAGGAGCTTGCTTGAAATATGAGCACTAGTGTGGTCCCAAGAGTCACATGAGAATCTTAAAAATAAAAGCTTTGCTCACCTCAGAATTTTCAAAGGAGAAACCTTTTATAACAAATAGAGATAAGGCCATAAACTGGCGAATTTCTCTCCACTTTCTGACAGAAATGGAACTGGTGTGCTTTGGCAGGCTTAATTTTTGTAAATGTAAACCCAGTTCTCTGCAGAGCTACGAGGCCTCTGTGTACAGCAGCAGGAGGAGCTGTTGAGTGAGAAGCCTGACCAAATCCTGAGACAGCACATTCATGGATTCTCTTCTTTATAGTCTTCTTCATTGAGAGGAAGTCACTCCTGCATGTGGTGGAACACATGGGGTGTTTCTGTCAGTGGACAGGTGGGTTTCCTCCCTGTAAGGATCTTATGCTTGTTTTGCTGCCTGTTGTGTCAAGTTTTCATGAGTTTGGTCACCAAGTGATCACCTGACTGGTAGATTTAGAATCAGATTTTAAAAGCCCAGCTTCATTGCTTCTTTTTACATCAGACTTCAGGTATCTGTCAAGTGTTCTATCACACCAGATTAGGGGTTTAGTGCTGTTTCTGACAGTGATGAATGCTGGATGTTTTGTAGTCACTCACCCAGGATGAGTTTATAATCCTAAAGCATGGAGTTTCAGAGCTCTGAGAACACTTAATCCAAACTGCTAGTGTGGAAGATGTTTTTCTTATGCTGCTAGGACATGTCTCTAGGGCTTTAAAAAATTATGTCAATCTTTTTGCCTTCATTATATTCCCAGACTTTTTTGCTTTTTGTTACTTAGGAAGTGTGCTGAACAAAACTAAATGCAAGATATCCAAATAACACAACATTCTGTCGTTTCTGCTGTACTAGAGGCAGAGCAAAAGGCAGGGGTCTGCATTTATTTTAAAATAATTGCTCCAGGAGGTAACAACCATCTAAAAACCCATTTATGGCTGAGTTGTCCTCAGCAGTTCTTTGCATAAGTTTCTTCATACTTCACTTTTAAATTTCAGCTGTTATTGTGCTGCTCGGTTATTTTTGTACTGAGTCCTCTAGATGCTCTCCTGTACTCTACTTGTGTCCTAATAAATGTATAAATCACCTCTGTTTTCACAACTAAAAGTCTCATTGTTTCTGAAATGTGTGAAAGTAAGATGGAAAGTGAGTGTCCTGTCCTAACAGACAATAAGGTCTCTGACTCCGGTCATGTCATTTTAGTTGTATCCTTTTGGTAGCCTTGGAGCCCTTTGTACTCAGAATACTCACCCTGAAAATAGTGCACTGCTGGGCCACTGTGTCCTGGCTAACCTTCTGAAGATCTCACACTTGAATAAAGTCATAAGTGACTTGTGCCATGATTCTTTGCTAGCATCTCTTTTTTGTAAGGGAAAGTTCAGTTGGTAAGGACTAGCTGGAAACAAGGTTCTGTTTGAGCCTTGTATTCAGGGTATGATCCTGCCAGTCTCCTGAACCCTGGTGATTTGCTTGAAGGGAGAGGGAGATATATCTGATTCCTTAATGGGACTGCTTAGAAGAATGCAATGAAAAAATTCTCAATGAAAAACACAATGGTATTTTCCTCTCTCTTCCGCTTCTCTCTAGGGAACGACTGAATAATCTCATTTATTTAAGAGTTAAAAGAACCCCTAATGAATGTCTGTGTGCTGTTTCTGCTTCTTTAATCCCCACTTGGCTGCAGCTTCTTAAGATATGTATTGAACCAATATGAGTTGTTCCTGAAAAAGCTGTTCCAATATTATGTTCCTGAAATCTGTGTAGTAGCATCATAAATCTGTCAGCACACAGAAGGTAGCAATTTAAGTGAGATAGCTTTCCACAAAAGTTTCCTTTACTCCTTTCTTGTTTTCAAAAATCTTCACAAAAAATATTCAAGATATTTATATATATTGTATTTGCGGACTGTTTTGTTTAGTTGATTTTTGTTCACACTTCTCAGGAATCTAGAACAGCTCTGTGACCACAACATGGCAGCAGGGCTTTTCTTTCCTTATCTCTTGGTATTATTTTTTTTTTATAACTCCCAAATTAATGCTCATTATTAATCTCTGGCTACTATGTTTATCACTTTCAGCCATTTAAGTCTGACTCCTAATAAGAGATTACATGTTCTTGGTAGCTTTCCTGCTTCATCCTAAAGGTTCTTCAAATCCCTGGAGGGACTATTAAGTCCCATTCTCCCTCTACCAGACTTCCTTTCAGTTTATATGTCCTTTCCTTAGAGTTCTCTGAAACATTCCTGTCTCAGACAATGAGTGAAAAAGGAAAAAGAGTCTGAAACACAAGCCACAACAGTCTGACACAGGAATGTGTGTTTGCAGAGGCCAGTCAGCCTTAGAGCGTGGAGACTTTGATAATGAGCTGTGCGCAAAGAGACACCATGGCTCATGAGTCATGTTTGTCCCCGTGTGAGCTGTGCGCAAAGAGACACCATGGCTCATATTGTCCCCGTGTATGCGCAGCAGTGCTGTCTTCATTGGCATTTGACCCCCTGCAGAGTAGCAGAAGATCCTTTTAACATGGAAGTTTGGTGTTTGGGAGGGCCTGCAAAGAGCCTTATTGGGGCAATAACGCTGGTCCCCAGCTGTTGTTGGCAAATGCATCATGGCTCCTTTCATAAATGGAGGCAAGCCTCTTCTCTGATCCGCTCCTCAGCTATTCCTGAACCTCCCTGCCGTGAACATTAAAAATCATCTTGTCATACCCACCCTAAATTTATTCCCAGTCATACTGCAATGCTCATTTATTAATCCATTTGGCCTTTAATGAACTAATTCTTTCCAACCAGTGTTTATCCCACTAATGTGTTTATCTAGAAAAGTCAGGTTTTCACAGACTCTAGCTCAAGCTCTTCTAGTGGTCTCAAATAGTCTGCACATGTCCTGGGCTACTGTAATTGCTCTTCTCTTTGCTGTTTGAATTTATTATGGTTCTTTGGGAAAGGCCAGACAATTTGTGTTGAAGTTCTTTTTATTTGTTACTCCATTTTTTTTAAACATATGTCAGTTAAAGAAATTAAAAAATCATTGAAACCATAGTTCTTGTGTCTCTTTCAGTCGTGTTACCTGTGAGGATTTTTTCCTCTCCTTTTACGGAATCATATAAATGTTTTTGTGCTGTCATAGAGAAGAAATGTTGCAGCTCCGTAGGAACTGTCTGGAGCTGAGGAACTTCACAGCTGGGGATCCATTCAGGCAGTGTTATCTCTCTTGGCCCATCCTCTGTTTCTATGCAGACAGACGTGTTTCTTGATGGCAAAGTCTGTGCAACAAAATTCCACTTTCTTCATGCTTGACATCCAGTAGTAAGCTTGGCTTACTTAGGCTGACTGGGTTTTCCGATATTGTATGATGCAAATATCTGGGCTTGAAGTCTTTGTAGGAAAGTGAACATGCAGATTTTGGAAGGGGTTCAAGTTTGGGCCTTCCTGAAAGCTGCTGCCTCTACAGTGCTTCTTTTTTCAACATGTCAGTGATTTTCAGAAGGTTGTTTATTGTGGGACTTGAATCAAGATAAGGAACTTTCTGGTAGCATGTCTAAGACAGAGTGCCCTGCTCTTGGCTCACACCCCATCTTGGTCTGTGCTTTCTGTAACTTTGCACTGCTGACCTAGGCTGGCTGCTCTTTTAATTTCACTCAGCGTTGTGCCTTAGTAGCTGGTGACAAAAGTGGGAATGCTGAGTACAGGTGAAGGCATCTGAAGGAGTACTGTTTTTGCAGAATTGATTCATGGGGATGTTCACCTTGAAGTCAGCATGCAGTGCACCCTTCAGGAGGTGTCACTTGTGACAGACCAGCAGAAATGTTTCTGTATGAAGAAAGTAGCAGGCTTTATACTGCCATCTATGTCTCTTAGTAGGGACTGCTTATTTTAGCAGACCATTGACCCTGACTGCCCTGAAAAGGCACAGTTAGAGGTCACTCAGTTAAGAGAAACAGCCCAGACCTTCACTACTGCCCCTGTCATATAGGGAGCTCAGGGTCACTCTTTATGCTTTGGAGAATTAATTACTCTGTTCCACTCTGGTGCATAAGATTTAAATGGGTATAGATGTCTTGTGGTTTTTTTCTTTCTTCTATAAGCATCTGTCTTCTCATATGAATGATAGTATAAATGGTGACTTGAATTAATGTGGTTTTAACTTCTTTTAGGAACAGTTGCAGGTGGTTTTTAGGATGTTCACTTGCATGTGACTGTTTTAGCTTTCTCAACCACGGTTTGATCCACTGCTCACATACTGTTAACCTCTATGAATCTTTTGCATTGTTGAGGCTTTAGCTACTGGTGCAGAGCCAAAGGAACTGTTCAGATGTAAAGTACATTTGAGTCCCTTAGCCAAAGAACAAACTTCACCAGTTACTGTTGATATTCAACATATGTATGCTGTAAGTGAATGAGTGTTCAGGTAAATCACCATGGCCCTGGACAGGCCTCTGCCAATCTCACTTTGGAAGCCAGAGGGCAATAAAACTGCTCAGTTTTGAATTATGTAAGGTGCTGGTCTGGATTTTCATTTCTGGAGACAAACTGGTGAAAGTGCTCTTTGAAGTGTTCATTATCATAAAGTAAACAATTTTTTTTTTCTTCATTACACTGAAAAAAAAAGTTATACAGCTTTTCCGTTTCCGATACAGAGATTCAATCATCAGAAATTTGTAAACATGTCAGGAAATGTAAAATGTAAATCAGAAGGGATTTCCTTACTTAGATTTGTTTTAATCAAACAGAAGAAAAGCAGGACAATTTGGGGACTTATCCATGGCCATTTGGGACTATAACTGTGAAAATGACACAGTTGCCCTGCTTTATGTAAGTCCGTGCAGTTTGAATCTGGAAGTGTGTTCTGGCTTAGTCACGCTAGGGCAAAGTGCTATAAAGCCAGCAGAGCAGGAATGTGTTCCTTCTGTTTTACCTGCAGAATTGCTTAGTCAGTTACAATTGCTTAGAGTTGCAATCAGTCAGAGCTGTGTATATAAAGCCATCACAAGTAATGATGCATTAGCAAAACACAACTCTCAACCTAATTTACTCTGCTTATATGCCACATTATGCTCTGCTTGCATGAGTAGCATTTAATGCAGATAGTATCTTTTCAGTTTTATACAGGTCGCAGAGAATATAAAAAGTGTTATAAACAACAAACACAGCGTTTTTCAATATAGTTTTATACAGCCTTAAGAGTAAATATTGGCATTAAAATATAATTTGTTAGTGTTATTGATGGACCCTGGAGGAAGAAAGGCAAATCACTCATGCAAATGGAGGAGTATAAATCATAGAAACTCTGCCAAACTTAAACTGGTGTGGTTAGTAAGGAAGTAGTAGTCTGCAATGGTAATAAGTCACTTATCAAACACATAGTGCAATAAGGACAGTAAATTGGTGAGTTCATTCAGACTGTCATGATTGTGCCCATCCACATGACAGCTGCCAACTCATTTTATGGACGCTGTTACACATACTGCTCAAGGCTAAAGGTCTTTTGAACTTCTGTTGTGTGTTGGTGCCAACTTAAAATGGTAAGATAAAAAGTAAGCAGATAATCACAGTAACTGCCCCTTCTGCAAACCCTAAAGAAGTCATTAATCCATTCTGTCAACCTGCTGTGTCAGGACTGATTTAGTATTCTGAACTCTTGCCTCTGCTTTAGAGTGAGCTTTGCCCTGTGCTTAAGTGTTGTCAAAGAGAAGACTTAATTCTGCCAGCTGATTCTCTTAATACTCTTGCCAGTATTACTTGTGGTGGAAGTGTGAGATTCTTAGTAAATCCAGTATTTATTAGTTCTGTGTCATCTCCTTGTTCTCCAGTCAATCTGCAAACTGCTTTTATGTAAGGCAATATATTGGAACTGTTCCTAAACAGAGACGTTTTATTGTCACACATTTTTATGGGTTAGGAAAATCAGGACTAATCCACAATCCCCCTGAAAAACCTTAAATAATTTACAGTTTATGTGTCCTTTGTTACTAAATGACAAAAAAAGCAGTGTCTTTGAGTAATTCAGGGGCTAATAATTTGTGGTCTCACATTGCTATCCCAACTAAGTAAATTTAATAAAAATTGCTTACCTGTGAAGACCTGACTGTGTGTTGTGATCTCCAGAGCCCTTTCAGTGTTTTGTAGCGTGTTGGTAATTCTTGGAGAAAAGTTATATTTGAGCTCCTTAAAATGTACTTGTATTTGAGCTCTTTAAGATGGAGTTGTGTACTACTGTCTTTGGTGGATTTGAAATATATATTTGACCATTTTCTTCTACAAACTTGGAAAACTGAAGGATAAGAAGAAACAGGTAAGGTATAAAACAAATATATGTGCTGTATGGGGAAGACTATTTTAAAGACTTGAAATAACATGTGGTCACCCTGCTCTCCCTCAGTTATCTGTTTAGCAAATGCTAATAAAATTTAAATCTGGTGGGAAAATATATTTGTTGCAGTGTTAGTACTCAAGTGGAAGTTTCAACAGGTATGTACTTATGCTGAACTTGGGTCAAATAACTTGGAATCAATTTCTTATGGTAGTTACATATGGTAGGCAGGGAAAGCTATGTAAGCTTTCTTCTGTAGTAGTCACAGTTATAAACTGCCTTAAAATGAACTGCCTCTTATTGTTTCCATTGCCACATCTGCAAACAGTGTGTCTGCATTGATCAGAAGGACAGACAGATCTGCATTTTTAGCTGCATTTGTAGATGAATGCTCACTATAAAGACAGCTGTGATGGTAGGAGAGGTGCTTTCTGTGAGCTGCTGCTAATGTCTCTTTTGCCTGTGGAAACTGATCTGATGGATGTGCAAACAGAACTCATCTTCACTCTTTTGATACAAAATCAGCAGGATTAGACCAGATCAGCTGTTTTATCAGCACCAGTTAACCCAGTGATGTGTGATAAAGTCTTAGTGGAGGTATTCTACATGGTCATCTGCACCACTAGATCTGGAAATCTAGTTGTCTCAGGCAAAAAGGTGGTGACAAGCAGCTGAGAGCTCAATTTTATACCATAAAATACTGCCTTTGCAGAAGGCCATCTTCCCATTGCCAATTGCAGGAACTCTGGGTTGATTTACACTCCAGCAGGGAAGGTTCTTATTTTGTTTTCTGTGCACGATTTTTACAAACAGGAACAGCAGACTCTAAAGATTAATGAATTGTGAAGCTCGTTCTGAACTCCTAATGTCACCATCAGGAATAACTAAGTTTTTCTAGATGTCTTTTAAAAATGAAACTGCACTGGAATTAGTTTCCAACCCTGTCACCACTTTTTCTCTCTCCAGTCTTTCTGCCTCTTGTTTCCTTATTTACCTCACAATGATGCTGCCAGCATTAATTACATAACAGACGTTGTGAGTTTTGTAAAGGAGAGATGTGGAAAAGACACAAAGCTTTTAAGCACAACTTTCTAGTAGTAAAAGTCACCAGGCTGTAGTCTAGGTTATCTGTATTTAACCAGGGATTCTCCTTCAGCCATGAGAGCTGGAGTGTCCCAGTCTCCGAGAAAGTCAAAACATATGAAGGGAGCAGCAAATGAAATTAAAGTATTTCCTAAGTGCCCATACTGACTGTCCTCTTAGCTGATAATTCTGAACCTGTTAAACATTGCTGAAAATAGGTTTTGGTCTCTGATGATCCTCCTGTTATGCAAAAATAGGCTTTGTAAGCCCACCTCCACACATGATTAGCGTTTCTTAAATTGACCAGTGACCAGTGAAAACTGACTAAAAATGATTACTCCTAGCATTACATATTCTGTGGAAGGATTTTGGGTTTGGATGGACAAATTCTTCACTAAAAAATCAGTCATGTACCTAATTATATAAATACCAGTACAGCATTGTACTTATGACTGGGAATGGAAGCTAATTAATGCAAATTGACCTCCCACTTAACATTATCAGCTTTTACTTGGCTGAAAAGCTTCTTATCCACACCAGCGTGTGCTTTTTCTGTTTCAAACAGTTACTGCCAAGCCTTTCCTGACAAGCGCTGCCATGGCACACAGAGGTGCTGGCTTTTTCCTGTCCCAAATTCCCCCTAACCCACTGTGGTCAGTAGCTGCCAAGTGCTTCTCATCAGTTCACGCAGGTGGTCATTTTGAAGTCTTCTGAAACAAAGTACCTGTCAGTTAAGAACAATAATTTCATGCCCTTTTCCTCTAATATTTGATGTAAACCACTCTCAGGGTAAGATGCTGCTGGGGTTAAAAACAAGCACCTCATGATGGCTTACATAGTGTTCTGCAAGTAGTGAATGTCTAGGGTTTCATCTCAGACTTCATAAGGGATAGGAAGAATTGTGTTTTTCTCTCTGGGTCTTGTTCTACTATTTGTGTAGTGATAAAATGTTTTAAATCATTCATCTCTTATTCCATGGGTATTTCTGTTGACCCCAATGCAAGTGGCAGGCATGATTTTGGCTCAAAAAATGCTACTTTTGGGTCCCACTGATGATTTTTTTTTTATTTTTCTTTTCCTGTTGTGAACTGTGGAGAATTAGTTGTCTGGCAGAAGGTAGCAAACACACCAAGTGATCCATCATGCTTTTGTGGGGAATGGCAGCTGTGCTAATAGCTCTGTTGGCTTCTGAGGCTACAAGGGGGCCACAAGTTGCATTTATTCTCAGTGCTGAGACAGCCTCCATGAGACTGCAACTATCAGCACATACAACTTTATTTTAAGCCAAAGTGCTTACCTTGATCATTGGTGTAGTCAGATTCTGTTAAACTTCAGCAGAAAAGAGTCACAGCTGCCACAGTGTTTTTAGGTAAGTTTCAAGAATAAAGGGTGAGCCAGTGGAGTTCTCTCTTACCTATGGTCTCCTCAGAACAGCCATGCCAAAAGTCTTTCTATCTAGAGATATGGGGATGGAAAGGTTGATGACTGCTTGAATTGATCCCAGTGTTTCAACCCTCAAGTGAAATGAAGTTTGGAAACATGGTGTACCTAGATATGTGTGTAGGATAGGGGTGAGAGGAGGAAAATGACAGGCACAATGATCTTGGGTTGGTTTAAGTTGTCAGGAAGAAGGACAGAAAGAAAGAAAATTTCCTTATTTCACGTTTCACTGAGCTTTAGATTAAATATAACACTTTGCAAGAACAGGGAGAGATGTGAGAATCAAAAAGGTAGTATCTTAATTTTTTAATCCCCTTTTGCTTGCACCCTGCAAAGAATTCCCAATGATGCTGCCCTTGCAGCTTTTTTACATGATCAATCATACTGATTCTCATTTACTTTTATGTGGCTTAAGGGAATTTAAGATTCTTGCACAGCTCCAATTAATAGTAACTGAGTTTGTGCTTGTGTAATCAAAATTTGTCTCTAAGATGACATTTATTTCTGTGAGGAAGGGGATAAAGCTAAACTGGAGATTTTATGGGATACAGAGAACTGGCATTTCATGAAGTCCCGTGTTCCTGTGGCTATTCTTTTCAGCTATAAATTTTTAATGATAGAGTAATTTAAGGCTTAATAAAATCAGGAGAATAATGAAATCTGAGGAAAATTAAAGCAGCAGTTTATTCCAGTAAGAAAGACTAGCCTGTTAAATGAATCCCTGTTTGGATTAATTTACCTTTAGCACCACTGCATACAGCAACTTGCTGAGAGCAAACACCTTCCCCCAGCTGCTGTGTAAAGCAAAGTCACAGTCTTGTACAGGAGCCAGATTAGTTTGGTTCCTGGAGCTGTGTGTCATGGCATAACGAGATCTTACCAAGCTGGGCTTTTCTGAGGCTTCTGTCTCATAAATCTGCTTTATGACAGAGAAGTTGTGCTTTATAGTTGCTCTCAGACACTTTAATTCACATTAGGTAAAGAGGCCATGAACAAAACAGTGGAGAAAACCCAATTAGCCCATAGGCAAGTCAGCAAGATCAGTATTTGTTAGGAGAATGTGTGTGTGCTAAGTAAGCACTGCTAATCTTCTAAACCTAATCATTGTATGCTTCGTTCAATAGAGAAATTTTTGTGCCTCATAGTGTTGCTGCTGCTTATTGCCAAGGAACCTGCACTGTGCAATTATGATTGTGAGAAGAACAACTTGCCCTTTTATTTCATTAAGGAAAGGTAAGATACAGGTGAAATGTACCTAGGCAAAGTGTCTGGTGGTTTGGGAAGCCTATATTAGAGAAGAAATGTAACAGCTTAGGTGAAGTGACCCACTCTCATTTGCATCTCCCACACTTTATCTGAATCAGTGCAGGCAATATACATTAGGGACAAATCAATGTGTAAGCAGTGCAGGCAGTGTTCTTACTGATACCACTCATTACATGAGAAATGTTTGGTGTTGCCAGGTGCCAAATACTGAAAAGACATCATGTGATGTGTGGAATGTCTTTTTAAAACAGAGTGAGGGAAAAAAAATCTATCTCCTTAGACTTTTATGTAATAAGCTCTATATTAGTTTACAATGGTATGTACTATTAGTACAAAAAAAATTTTAAAAATTCCTTTTATCAGTAATGCAAAACAAAAGACATATCCTGTTTATACTTGCAGAGAAATTACCTCTTCATACCATGCTAATACATTATTTATATTTTACCTTGGAGACTTATTTATTTCAAGGCAAGCAAAATAAAACACTAACTTTAAAGGGCAAGAATTTAATCACTAAGCCTAGCTAAGAATCTCTTGGCAATTTTACCAAGTCAGAAAAATATCTACGGTTGAAAAAGTAATTATTTGCTTAATGGTTCTTTTTGGTATAATAAAACATAAAACAAATGCCTGAAGTATTACTGGGCTAATCTAAATAGTTCACCTAGATCTCCAAAATTTTGTGTATTTCATAAGAAAGGCCTATCTACCAGGCCTTGCTTCAAAGGGTTTTTATTGTAAATGGGTAGATGTTTCCAGGTGAGAGCCCTTTTTTAAGCTTTATTATTTGTACATTGTCACCCAATGTTTCTTGTTTCTTCAAAAGCTGTATACCAAAACCTGCATATTGCTAAAACCCCTTGTTTTCCTCAGTGAAAAGAGGGATGTCCCAGATCAATTTCCAAGCAGGAGATGATGGTAACTTCTCAGGGCTCCTCCCCTTGCTCAGCTTGAGGACATAGAACTGTTGGGATGTTAATAGGCCCTGCAGGGATTCCATCATTTCAGCCTTAGCAGTTCCTGCGGGATCTCTCTTCCTCCCATGGCTGGGGTTTGTTCAGTAGCCTGGTTAATGACATAGCTGTGACATGGGAGCTGCACCCGAGCTCTCTCCAAGTCATCTGTGACTCAGGGTGCAGCTAGGCCACTCCATCATTGAATTGGTCTCTGTAAAGGTGGGTGTTGCAGAGTTACAAAGAGGAAAAAAAGTCCCTTCACAAAAAAGAGTTTAAATACAGTACTTATTTCTTTCCATACTAAGATGGGTGTTTTAAAGATAAACTTCAACTGCCAGATCAGTTTTACTCACACATTCTGATATGAGATGTAGAAGTCATGCACTTCATTGTGAAATCTGTGCTGTGGTGTTATGGGACTCAATGCAATCAACATGAGGTGTGATATCTCACAAATTGCTGTGCCAGCTTAACTCATGCCTCAGCTGAGCTGAACAAAAAATCTACTTTTAATGTATGATGCTACAAAGATAAAAGGACTTAAAGTGTTGAATTCTGGCAACCATTTGTATATTGTTGCATTTATAACAAACTGGGACTCTGATTCAAAGTTCACATCTGTCTTAATAATGGGAAGCCTTTATAGAAATGCCATATTTGCAGACCAGCAATATCTCTGAAAGTTTATTACATGAATAATTCTAGTTGATTTTCCATTTATTTCTACTGTTAGAACTGGTGGATATCTATCAGTGCTGTGCATATGTAGAATACATCTTAGTATTTCTATTCAATTCACATTCTGTTACAGCTATATTATTGTAACAGAATGTGAATTGAAAAGAAATACTGAGAAGCATTTTCAATTTCCATTTTGTTGTGTTACAGTGTGACTTGCTACATTTTTCACTGCAATAATTGGATATATTGCTGATACACATACATGTAAATAAGGACAGTCAATCTGCTTTGAGCTCTGGCATGGCAGAACTACTTAACTACCATTGTATATCACTTTTCATTTTGACATCTAAACTTAAGGCAGCAATAAAATAAGGATGAACATGCATTTTCATGACTGCTGTGATTTAGAGAAGGTTTCTGAGATCAGGTTGTAACAGCCAGCAAAGTTTTGCATTTTTAAGGGTAGATGGTTGTTCTGAACATTTGTTATATTTTTAAAACTCATACTGTTTAATAAAGCCTGAAGACACCCAGATTAGAAGGCAGAAGAGAAAGAGAAAAGGTAAAGCTTTTTTCTGGAAAGTAAGTAAGATATCAGCAGTTTTTAAAATTTCATACTCTCTTCGCTGGAGTTCTATTAGACTTTTGGTGGAGTCAGCCTGTACCACACAAGAAACAGTTGCTCAGTATTATATCATCTGCCCCTTTATGATGAGACCATGGACCATATGGAGTTTGTCTACTGAAAATAAATCAAGGCTCAGGGTGGAGGGATTTATGCTCCCAGTTTGGAAAGGCCCAGAACAAATCCAGGGAGTTGTGCCGATGAACACCATCCCATTTCCCTAGCAATGAGTGCACTGTGGGCGCTCTTGAAACACTTTTTGATGAAATAGGCATAAATCAAGTTTCACATGAGAGAGAATATCCTTATGGACACTCTGGCTTCTGTGCAGTAGTTCTGCAGCTTCCCTCATGATGGCAGCGCATTAAGTGGAGAGCTGCACTTGTTCAGTGATAGTAATAAAAGACACATTGGAAGCTGTGTGACCTTCATGAGAGTCTCCCACTTAGTGCTACTTTCCTACTCTCTGACACATGCTAGGGGCCTCTAAAGATCTGTTTCTTTTCTCAAGTGTGGTTTTGGCCTGAAAGGCATGCAGCATGGGGGGCCTCATGACCTTCACCTTCTTTTCTAGATCAGGCCACAGAACATTTTGCTTTGCTTTCCTGTTACTTTCCCCATGTATTCTGTAAATTATTAGAATCAGATGTATCACTCTTGCCAATTTTAGCAGAAAGGAAATTACAACTAGAGAATAAATTGTTTCAAATGTGTAAATTGACTGTCTCTACAGCCTTTTATACTTGCAAAGGGAGGCAATCACTTATCTTGCCTAACCTTAAATCCTGCTTGGTCAGGAATCTGCAGGTCTGGGAACCACCATGGGTCAAGGAGCTGGGAGACAGCCAGAGGAATGTAAATACTTTGTGGCATGATAAACAGCAAAACTGTATTAAAACCCACAAGACAAAAACAAACAAAAAAACCCAAACAAACAAACCCACCAAAACAAATCAACCCAAAAAAAGGTAACAAAACAATTTGCATTCATTGTATGCTGTCACTAAACCTACTGGAAGCCTTATTAGTGTGGTTTGTCCGTGGAAGGACAGCTGCCAGTGCTCTAGCCTGATGTGTGTGTGTATAACTAAGGCTTTTGGCAGTGGCTGAAAGGTGTTTTTCAACACTTTTCTCAATGTTTGTGGTTTTGTTTTGATGTGAACCTGAGGACCCATTACACCTACAGAAGCAAGGAGGCAACTGCTGTTCTCCAGTACCTTTGACTGGAGATCATGTGTGTGTGACCCACTGCCAGTGCACTCAGCAAAGCACATCTGCAGCCGGTCAGTGACTGATTCCAGTGTGCAAAACTGCACAAGGATAGATCGTGCTCATCCTTAAGGCAAAGGCATTGTTGGTCCATGAAAGTGTAAAGAGTTATTGCAAATACCTTGTAATTCATTTCCCACAAATGACAGTAATGGCTCAAAGGAGCCCTCACAGGCTATAAGGTGAATAAACTGAGTGTTAATAGCTCCCAGGTTAGCACCACTCAGAGTGTATTTTTCAGGAGAGGTTCCATGTGGCTGTCACCATTTAATAGTTCCTGATGGCAGGAAGAATATTTGCTCCGAAAGACCTTGGACTACTAATGTGGAAGACTTTTTGTGTGTGTTTCACTTTTTGTTTAAAAGGATATACTCTTTCCTTCAATTTAAAGGTCTTTGAAAGGCCAAGAAAATAGGGAAGGAAAATAGAATATTCTAGGGAAAGAAAATGCTTAAACTAGGAAAAATTAAAATGTTTTTAGAGACCCAGCATATTTCAGGTTAAGATGGAAGTGCATAATAATGGAGAAAGCATTTTAATGATCTGTTGGTTAAATATTCAGAGTCCAAGGTTATGCACTTTTCAGTGTGTATGAGGACAGAATTTGACCTACTCCTATAAAACCTTCTTTCTTTTTATATAGCTGATACAAGGGCACAGTCACAGCAGGCCTTGGTTGCTTCCTGTTGCAGAAGAAAATCTCTAGAAAGGTGCTGTGATCTCTTCCTCAGCCTGTGTACCTGCATGACCCATTCTGGTGAGCAACTGTCATGAGGAATGCACCTCACAACCCTGTAAAGTTAACTGTGAAATCATCACAGAATTATTCTCAGGTTTCTAATATACTTATCAATGCTGATATAAGAGGTTGTTTATTTTCTCTTTTTAAAGAATTTACATCTATGCTTCAAACTACCTTAATCTAAAATCCCGGTGGTTTGATCAAGTGTTTTGCTGGTGCCATCAAGTGGCAAAATGTTGGATTGCAGAAGTTCCACAGCATCCAAATTGACTCTAATACCTCTTGAACAGCACCAATGAGGAAAATAATCCCTGACAAGCCTCCTCCAAAAATACATATGTATAAATATGTATGAGAAAAATGGACTGAAATACATATGGTGTAATGATTGCTTCAGTTACTTCAGTTTGATCTGGATTCTAACAAGTAGAAAGGCTAATATTTTTGAGTATTACTAGTTGATAAATATAGGCAACCTATAAAGCAAACTCCGAGATCCTTGTTGAAGAGCTACTTGAACTGAAGTGGCACAATGCTGTAGTCTGAATTTCTGTGTTTGCTGTCCTCTGTTACTAGCTAATCCCTTTTTACATGGCTCTTTGACTTCATATCATAGCTGCACTTCATATCATAAGTGTAGAGTGAATATTCAGTTTACTGCTGTATTCTCTAACTTCACAGTCTGGTTAACTGAAAATTTAGTCTTAAAGTTCATCATTCATACACACATCACTTTTTTTTTTTTTTTTTTTTGCCAGCTGAATGACATCGTAGTATCATTCAGTAGGAAGGCCTCTGTGCAAAGGAAACACATAAATTTATAAAGCTTATGCTCTATTTCCTTATAAAAATCCAAATAAATTTGTATGGTTTTGTCTTTATTTCTCAGGGAACTGCTAATATCAAAACTCATACATGCTGCCAGTGTAGAAATTATCCTGTGCTTCAAAATCTAAATCATGCAGGGCTGGATTTTGAGAAGTGCTGAGCACTCATGCCTGACTTTAAAGTTCCTGAGAATGCTGAGCATTTCCCCCTGTGAAAGCCTGGCTCTTACACTTCCTTACACTTCCAACAGGAGCTATGGGAATGCCTCAAATAGGTACAGGCTCCAACTTTTTACCCTGAAATGAGTTATTTCTACACTCTGGGGACTTTCAGTTCCTTCTGCCAAGGTGCTCACAGAATCCAGCGAAACTGCATGGTTTTCACTGACAAGAATCTGCAAACAGCTCCACACCAAAAAATAAAAACAACAACAGAGAGCAAATGAGAGTGTGAAAATGATGGAAATGCAGGTGGAAAGATCAGCCATAATCAGTAAAATTTTCCTTGGATTAGAAAAAGCCTTACATTTTAATTAATTCTCACTGTGGATACTTCATGAAGTTTTATTTACAAATTCTAATGTAACCATATTTAGGCTTCTTATACTTTCCCCACTGAAATTTGTGCCAGTACTATCAGAGGCACAAATGCTAAAATATTTCATTTGAATCTTGCCTACTTCAGCTTTTTACTCCGTAATTATTAGCACTAGATGAAGCTTTTAATTAATCTCTAGCCTGGTACGTTTGGAGATCAGTGAAACTGATGCTATTTGGGTTAGTGTGGCTCTGGTGCTTGCCTGTTTTCTGTGTTTTACAGAAACTTAGCATGGAGAAAAGGCTACACTCCTTGGCCCCTGAGTAGTACCTTCAGGACTGTGGGTGTGCTTTGAGCAACTCTCCTGCAGTAACATTTTACTGTGGGAGCTGTCCAGAACCAACAGCAAATGGATGTCATTAACATAGGTGTATGAAGCAGCTTGCTAACCTCTTCTCCCTTTCTGACTGCTATGTTGGTTTTCTGAGGTAGAACATTTAGTTGCTATGACTCATCTACTTTCTCATGAGGTATTATGGTAAGTTGGCCAAAATCTCTCCTGGCTTACAGTGTGAGTGTAGGAATGTAGAGACATAGACTACATGCAACTTAGGCAATTTCTACCTTGTGGAATAGGAAAGGTTTGGTCCTGGACCTCTTCTTTTCTCCAGAATGGGATTCACTTTGATTGGTTAGGGGCTCTACACTAGTGTGCCTTGAACATCTAATAATCCAAGGGATTGTATATTCAGAAAAAACAAACACAAGAGGAATGAAAATGCTTGTTTCAAGCTCATTAGTCATTCTTGCACTTGTCCTATCACTGTGGCATCACAGCACCTTGCCATGGTTTTGGGATGGAAGTCCTATCAACATCATTTAACAAAGGCACGTGCTGGACTCTCCATGGGATGGGGTAACCCTGGTTGTATGTACAGATTGGGTGATGAGAGGTGGAGAGCAGCCCTGGGGAAAGACATCTGGTGTTTGGGTTGATGGCAAGCTAGATGAGTGAACAGTGTGCCCTGTCGGTCACACTGCCAAAAGGGCCAGCTGTACCCTGGGGTGCATCAGCAGAGTGCAGTGAGCCAAGTGACTGGGAGGTGACTGGGAGGTGACTGGGAGGTGACTGGGAGGTGACTGTCCTGCTCTGCTCTGCACTGGTGCAGCCTCACCTCGAGCACTCTGCGCTGATTTGGGTGCCTTAGTGGAAGAAGCACACTCGTTAGAGTGTGTCCAGAGGAGGGGACCAAGATGATAAAAGGGCTCAAGGGCAAGACATTCAAGGAGCAGTCCTTCCAAATTGAGATATTCTGTGATCATTTCACGTAAAGGTTAGCTCATGATAACAAAGTGGAGAACAAGGACAGGAAGGCAAGTTTCCAGTCTTTGAGTATTTGAGTCTTTGAGTTTAACTCTTTGACATTCTGGCCTGCATCTTCCATTCCTGTTGTCCAGGAAAGGCTGCAGGACTGAAAGCTATCCTTGGACTTTTCTGAGTCAGCCTTAAGTAGTGTGCTCTGCTTTCAAAGCTTTCCTGTAAGTTAGTAATGGTGATCTGAATCCTGAATCCTACATGAGTGTCTGAACAACACAGATTTGGCAGCATCATTTATCATCATTTGCCTATCTTTCAGTTAGCCAGTGTTTTGGTTTGCTGTGTTTTTTTTTGGTTTTTTTTTTTAATGCTGTCATGAAGAAAAAGAAGTCTTGGAACTGATTTCAGTGGAAGTAGCACCAACCTCAGTATATTTTAAAGAACAAATTGGCTGTGGTTAGGGTCCAGGAAAAGGAACCCTAATTCCAAAAGCATTCCCCAACAGCTCCTTCAGCGGTTGTTCCTAGACATATCTCTTCTTTAATAACAGCTTTCTGAAAAAGCTGAGCACTGACTTTTCATAGTTATGACTATGGTATTTGGGGATGTGGTAAATTAGGCCAAAAGTGAAATCTTTAAGTTCAGGAAGGATGTTTGGAACAACAACCAACAGTAAATAGTTATCAAATGATGGGCAAAAAATAAATACGAAAATTTGGAACTTCAAGTGTTTCAACTAAATATTGTGTAGACATTTGTGAGTACTAATATATTTCCACATTAATATTTTGTGGGAAAAAAAAAAAAAGCTTAAAATCCCCTGCAGATATATGTACATCTCAGTCTAAATTGCTGTGTAACCATTTTGCTGCTTGGTGCTTCTCTGGTGAAAGCACTTCACTTAAACATTTTGACTGTGAGAAGTATATGTCTAGTCTACATCGGCTGAGGGTCTTGTCCACTACCATGAGGTGTACATCTATTAACAAATGTACTTGGAAATCCTTCTCTCTTGCTCAGTTGTCTTCTGGCAGTACACCTAGAGCAAGTCCTCCATGCTTCTTCTCTGCTCCTCAGGGAAGCTTGCAGCAATGGAGGAATTTCCTGAACTCTTTATATCTGAAAGAAAAAATCCCCAAACCCAAAATGTCTTTTGATAGCAGCAGCAGTGATGGTTTCCTGAAGTCTTTTAAACAATGACAACTTGGCTCTCTTTTCATGACTGTGACTTGCTCAACTTATTCTGGCTAATGCCATTAGGATGAACCGTCACTAGGAGAAGTTAGTACAACAACAAATGGCAATTCTTTAATGAAGATTGGGTCAAGTCAGTGATGTTTTGATCAGTGAGAGGAGGAAAGAAGGTGATAGATGTGTGCAGCATGTGCATCTTGCAGTGTTATTGGGTATCAGCTGCCAGCACATACATACCTGCACTCTCAGTAGCATATGGACAGCAAATATATGCAATAGCACAGATGGAAGATTTAGCATCTAATTCCCACTGATTTCAGAATTTGTTATTTATGCCTTTGAAAACTTCCCCTCTCCATCTCTAGAGAGGGGTGAGGAATGTTACTGTTTAGTAGCTGTAGTTCAGACTGAAGGAATGCTGTGTTAGGCACTCACATGGATGTGCTAGAGGCTGAGGATACTCTGTACGTTTCCATACATTGGTGTAATTTGACATCAAGTAGTTTGATGTGTATGATGAACCAAAATAAGAATCTGATGTGCCATAGAGTATCAGAAAACTATTCTGTATCTCAGTTTCAAGCATTCACTTACAAGTTCTGTCTAAAATTTTGCCCCAACCTGAAAGTAGTCAGGCAGATGCCAAGTCACCTGTGTGGCTGTGATGTTTGTATTCATTAGGCCAGCTCTCACTGGAAACATTAATAAACCATTCCTGTTGACTGTGCTCTCAATAGGCTACCAAGCTGCAGGACAACCACTTTACCTTAGACATAAAAGAAAAGCATTGCATACAAAGGTCTGATCATCTATTCAGTTCAAACAGGACTATGTTAAACTTAAAATATTTACAAGTCTCCTTCTCCCAAAGAAACACTTATAGCCAATGTTGATCCAGTGACATTTGAGATCTCAAGACACATTAAAAAATGTCTCAGCCCAGAGATTTTCAAAAAAGGGCTAAGGTGAACATATTTTTAAAATGTCTATCATGAGCAATCCTTAAGAGCCTCAGCGCTATACAAAATGATTTAATAGACACTATTAGGATTTCTAACTTCCATTATAGTAGATTTATTCTGAATTCTGACAGACAACTTCCAGCTTTTTGGCTCTTCTCTTTTGAGAAAAACCCACACTACCAAAAATATCATGTTCTGGGATCAGAACATCAGTTTGCTTCTTTATTATTAAAAAGTTGCGTTTTTCCCTTCAGGTTTGTTTTGTATGTCATGTGGATCTCAAACCAGAGTGGAAGAATACAGTGTCTTAAATTATGAGCTTATGAAGGTCTCCAATAATTGTTTTGATCAGTGCATAAAACCAACACATCTGAGGGTATGTGCTGCCAACAGCTTCCAGCAGGTCTTGGCAGGAGAGTTCTTATTCATACTGACATTTTAATTCAGGACTCTGCTTTTGACGTGAATCTCCCAAAGGTCTCTGTTTTGCAGTACCTTGGTCTTGTACTACGTGAACTGGTTGGATGTAATTATCTGAAAGCTGTGTTCCAGAAATATACCAGGAGGATACCACAGCTACAAATGGACCCTTAATCAAAAGTAAAGAGCATCTGAAATATATTTTTTTGGCACCTCAGATCCTCAGCACCCACTGTTTCACTCTACACATCTTCTCCTATAGTCCACAATACATGCCAAGTGACATAGTCGCTGAGCAACATACGGATCTGGAATTAATTGAATTTTTTTTAGCTTGGGATGGTCTGAATTTGTTTTTATTAACTGTTCCCCAATAAACCTATAAATAACTATACACATAATCGTAGGATATCAATGCTGAATCTGACTATCTGATGATAGGGTAAAACACATAGGATACTTTCTTTGTATATATATACAACCTAGCATTATTCAAATATATGTACATACTTCTGGTTATTCAGGGGCACAGTCTAGCTATGCAAATATTGGTAGCAAATGCTCCAGTCCAAGAAAATAATGTAATAAAATTAGTGGATTAATTATTTTTAAAAGCTGAGAACAACTGTTTCTTATTTATTTATTTATTTATTTATTTGGATTTATGTGACTAGGAAAAAATATAACATTTTAAAAATATATGATATTGTAAAACATGCAGCCGTCTTCTTTTCAGGTATGGATTGGGGAATTCATGTGTGTGTTTACAGAAAAATGTAGCTTCTGACCTGTGTTAAAATACTGATTTTCATGGTCACAGAGAAAAGAATGATACAACCTTGCTATCTGTATTTAATGTTTGTGTTTCAGAATTGGGTCTAACATAGTTGTCATCTGAAAGGTGCCTTGCTGTTGCATTGCTTAATTTTTTCATTTTTCTGGGTATCCTGTGTAGCTAACAGGATTCTTTCCTGGATATTCATTAAAATATAAATCAGGTCTATAATTCACTAAACTTCCAAGCCTATTAATAGTTAAAAGAGTGCAGATGGAAATTCACCAAATTCCTGCAATGCGAGGAATACCACAAAAACTTGCCTCAGGGCAGATATGTAAGTGGGAGGCATCAAGACACAGTTTGACATGCGTGATAATTCAATAATATCAAAGTATTCTGACTGAAATTCAGATGTTGGATAGGAGACATTACAAATAATGAAAGAATTTATCAATTGTAGTAAACCAGAAGCCTGCCAGAAAGATGGAAACTAGGACCTGGTTTTGCTAATAATAGAGATAAAATCTCATATGAAAGAACACTGGAGAACTTGAGGCTCACTCTGGAATCCATTATGTATGGAAAAAATACAAATTTAGATTTAAAAAAAATGTCATGAGTGCCAGGCATCATGGAAGTTCAGCTTTCCAGACCTTTAAAAATTGCAGGAATTCTGCCATATCCTGCTCCCCAGCTATTAGTATAATTGAGCCTGTATAAAAAACAGTCAAAACACTTATTCCTGAAACTTCCTGATTACATACTGATGATTATGAAAGCTAAATGCAAGCTTCCTTTAATTTTAAATTTTAAAGTTTATTTTAGTAATTCTAGGTAAAACTGTAATCTAGGAAAAAAAAAGTTTAAAGCAGGAGTAGATACCATGATAAATGTTGGTGATTTTATGTGAAATATGCTCATTTTTTCCAAATTAGAAATAAATGCAATATATGTGTTCATTTTATTCTTTATGAAAATTATTTCAGGAGATTTTGAATGCTAAAGCCACTGTGTAATTTATTTTAGCAGTCCTCTTTTCAGCTGTAATGAACTTATTTCCTGGGGGACTGACACACTATTGCACAAAGTAGAAGATACTCTGTTTCATTAAAGCAAAAAGAAAAAAAGTGTGTCTTGTCAGAAAAACATAACCACAAGAAAATGCTTTCAGTAACAGTAAATTGATATCAAATACTTCTAATGGAATAATTTTCCTCTACAAGTTCTGCTCTTACCTGTCTTTTGAGACAGTCGGACAGCAAGGAATTTGAAATGGAGTCAGTGCTACATTCAAATTGAAGGTTCTTGATGGAACTTCAGGTCCTTCATTTGCTTGGCAGTGTTGGGGCAGGTTATGCAGTAGCAGGTTATCATGTTTCATATTTCAACTTTTAGGGGAAGATGCAGAATAAAATATCAAATACCAGAGAATTTGTTACTGCATCTGAATACTAAGGAGAAAACAGATGAGTTCTGCCTAATTTTGGCAAGTGTCTACAGGAAACAGTGGTTGCTTTTACTACTGCTACTGGTTATTTTTACCAGGTCACAAAATAAAACAAACATAAAAACAAAATAAAAAGAAGCAGATTAAAGGTGTGATACTATTGCTTTGTGTAACTGATGAACAGCTGGAAATAAGCTCTCTTCAAGTAAGAGCAGAAAATTTGGACTCACACAGAAAAGGACTTCTGCACAGAAAGTCTCGCTTGGTGAATTCAGTTTCACTGTGAAGTTCCAGTCCCACTCTGGAAAGGACTTTAAACCTATGATACTTTTAATAGAAAATACCTTTTTCCTTAACTGCCATGGTTTTTGCCTCTACATCTTTGCTTAGGGGAAATGATTCAGTCCTTCTTTCACTGGAACAGATTTGTATTTCAGCGCTGGTTGATCAGCTGTTTGTGAGGAGAGGAGCTGTGCTAGGTCAGTGTAAACCCCTCAGCTCTCCAGAACTCCATGCAGGCATTTATATCTAAATAAGTTGCCTCTGCTTTGAGCTGCTCTCTTGTGCAAGACAAAAGCACCTGGACTTTTACTTTCTATCAGATGAAGCTTAGGTTCAAAGACAAAGAGTCTGCTCAAAAAGCCACCATCAGCTTCTGAGACAAAGTAGACAGAGAAGCACTACTGTTTCCTTTCTCATCCACCAAGAGCCAACAGAGCACTCCCTTATATCTGTGCCTGCTTCTTCTGGGACAATCCTGGGGAAGCCCTCAGGAACCTGTTTGTTCCATGACAAGCACAGTGTGTAATAATGGCTAGCTAAGTTCACAAAGGGAAGCACTGAATTCCCTCTGCTTGCCACACACTGTGACAAGACTCCTTTTGACTAAAAAACAATGGCTCATCATGTGAAGAAGACTGAGAGGCTTTTGTTTTACATCCTTACATTTTGAGTTGTACTTTTAAGACTTCTGTGTTGCTCTGCACTTAATGATCTGATAGCTTTTGGATATGGACCTTACAATGGGAAGAAGAGTCTGAGAAGAGTCTCAAGGAGAAAGGAGAAATTTATATTCATCTGACTGGTATGTTTGCTGTCCTGACTTCGGCAAAACTTTGACAAAAAGTATATTTTAATCAAGTCCTCTTCTTCTCTGGCATATGTTAGTGAAATGAAAAAGATTTTGCTTTGCTTTATTAAAATCGGGAACTAATTTGAAAATATTTGAAATATGTTATTCTTCCAGGATGTCTGGGAGTTTCAGCCATATGTTTTTGAAGAAAATAAGTTGATGTAGCACATTCAAGTGAAAAAACCTAAACAAATTCTATCATGCTGGCAGTTTATAGAGTACTGGGTAGATCTGCTGTGGTATCTATATGAACACTATGGGAATCTTACATTGATGACTGATATTCAAGTACAATTGGCTTGCAGTGAGAAAAATGTTCTGAGTTGTTGATCCATAATCTGCAAGTGGGCAAGAAACAGAAATCAGACTTTCCTTCTAGCAGAACTGCTGTGGTTCTGCTAGAACTTGCTATGCAATGTACTTCTGAGTCCACATTGTTCCAACCCCTGGGGAATTTCCTTTCTATCCAGCTTTATTAGCCTGTCTCAGAAGTTTATTTCCAGCTGCCAAAATTACAGATGGAGCCTGTGACTAGTAGATTTTTTGCCCCTGCCTATTGCACATATAGGGAACTCCCACATTTCATGTGTTCTCTTTGCAACTCCGTGACAGCAGCTGCCCACTGAGGCAGGGATCTATGCCATCAATTTCAGCTATCATCCATAGCACCAGATCATGATTGACTGCACTCAGCTTCAAATCCATGTTATACATACAGACTAAAACCTATCTGCAGTCTTACCCAGCATACCACCACCAGGACCACTGATTCACAATAATCCACCCTCCCTCATCAGAGGGGTTCTGAAGATATATGTCCTATGTCCCTGCAGCTACGCTAGTCCAAATCCACCACTCAAATCCTAAAACTTGCCTTCAGCTCCAGAAAATTAGTTCCCTGCACAGCACTTCCAGGTGGCTGGCTTGGGATCCTCAAGCTTGTAGTCAGTGACACCTCCCTTAGGAGCAGGACCCAGACCAAGGGTCAGCACATCCCTAGGAACAGTGCTCTCAATACAGTCCAATGCATGCAGAGGAGCCCACACTGTCTGTGCAGTTCTGTTCCCTGGCAAACTGGCCCAATTCCTTGGCAGAAGAATCCAGTGAGATTTTAGCTCAGTTACCAAAGTCACAAGTCCTTGAGGAAGATCCAGGGGAAATCAGCCACAAAGGAAATCAGTAGTTTCCAGGATGATATCTCTCCAAAGCAGGAGCCACCATCATACACATTTCAGCCCCAGAGCTTTCAGAAATTCATGATCAAGACAATGAATTATCGCACTGGGAGGCTTTGCTGAGGAAAAGCTCCCAGTGGGAGGGAGTAAGAAGGTATAGGAAAGTGATACATGATTATTTTGAGAAATGATACCTAAATAAAAATTGATTTCTAAATGTAACAAATATTGTGTTTACAGAACCCTAAAGAAATATTATTCCAACACAGGAGACAGTATTTGGAGATCAGCTCCTCTCTTCCCAACCATTATTGTCTTTCTCTTTGGAAGAAAAGTGTTAATAGGAAACTGTGCAGGGCTGAACTCTGAACTAAGCTTACCTTCTTATTCAGTGCACCATGACTATGCTTTGGTCTGTGTTCTGGTAGTATTTGACATCACAGCAAGAGGGTGTTGGGGAGCAGCACATACATAGGATGAGGTAGCTGGTGATGCCAGCAGAGGTTTAATTATTGAATGGGGTGGAAGGATATTAGAGCACACCCGGGAGCTGGGATCCAAGACACACATAGGCCATGTGCAGTTTTACCTCTCGTGAATAAAGCAATAAATACAGCCACAAACCAAGACAGTTTGTTACAGAAAATTTGATTGAGAAGAATTGAGTGAAGTCATGTGGATGTCGGTTCAATTCTTGACAAATTGGATGATCCTAGTGGATTTCAAGTAAGGCAGGCAGCACAGCAGCAAGACTTCCATGAAGTGCCAATTTTTTATTCCTATTCTTGAAGATACCAATATTCTTTGCCAAGATCTTGTGGGATGCTCACACCATCCTTCAAAACAGTTGGAGCTGGCCACCACTGGTGGAGTTTGGATTCTGGTTAAGTTGGCTTGCTGGAAGTTTTTGTCTTCTTGCGTTTGACAGACATGGTGATAGATTTTGGTCTGCTTTACTTTCTTCTGCTGACCTTTTCTTTTCTCTCAATATGTTTTTTGTTTGGCTTGAATTGGCATCAAAATATATGGATGCATTTGAAAAGAATGTTTTTTTCTGTTTTTTTTTTTTTTTTCATCAGTGAGAGCAAAACTAGCTGGAGGTCCTACTTTTCTTGGAAAAGCAGTGTGAAAAAAGCTGTAAGCATGTCTTTTGGCAGGTGACAATACATAAATAGTTTTTCTGAATACCTATGAAATGCATTATTTTGTTATTAATAACCAGTTGAGCCAGTAATTGGTTTATTATGATTTTGAACCACTGATTTGTTTTTAACCTGGATGGCTTGTCCATCATATTAAAGTGAACTAAGCTTTAATGCTGGTGCCATGTGCCAGTGATACAGCTGGCACAGATTTCCAGAGTTCACAAGTTTAATATATTCTGAAAAAAAATTATTTCAGTATGTCTTTTTCATGATCCGTCTTACTCTAGAGCTGAATGTTTGGAAAGGCGCAGCAGAATATTTTCCTTCATTTCATTAATTACTCAACTGTTGAAAAATGTCTGTAATTTCCTTCCAGAAACATACTATGGAAGAATTAGAATTGTGGGTTTAGGATACAATGGGAATAAGCTACCTCAGTTGTTATTATAGAGGGTGTTGCTGACTGGAAGAAAAAGGCTTAGGACATCAATTCTACACCCTGAATCTTCACACATAAAGTTCATCCCCCACATGTAAATCTATCAGTACCTTAGTGGTGTGTTTCACTGCCACCTGTATCTCCATATTACTGAATTTCTTTGGACAAAAAACTAATTGGGAGAATGAAGGTCCTTGATACATCTCTGCATAGCTCCCTTACCAGGCTGCAGTGGATGTCTTGTGCTGATGGAGCAATAGTGTCAGGGAAAGATGGATACCACAAAATCACAGAATGCTTGAGGTGGGAGGGGACTTCTGATGGTCACCTGGTGCAACCCCTACCCAGGCAAGGCCACCTAAATCAGGCTGCCTATGACCATGTTTCCAAGGAGGTATCACACCCTCTCCGGGCTCAGTCACCCTCACAGGCTAAGTGCTTCCTTATGTTCAGATGGACCATTCTGAGTTTCAGTTGATGCCCATCACCTCTGGTCTTCTTACTGGGCATAAATGAAAAGAGCTTGGCTCCATCTTCTTTTTGCAACCTCTTTTCAGGTGTTTGTACGCATTGATGAGATCCTCCCTGAGCTCCCTGAGTCTTTTCTTATCCAGGCTGCACAGTGCTCAGCCTTTCATCATATGAGAAATGTTCTAGACCCTTCATTAGCTTAGTGGCCTTTCACGGGACTTGCTCCAGTAGCTCCATCTCCTTTGTTCTGGGGAGTTCTGAACTGGACACTGTACTCCAGATGTGGTCCCACCAGTGCTGAGTAGAGTGGAAGGACCACTTCCCTCAAACTGCTGTCCACTCCTCATGCAGCCTCAGATACCATTTGCTTTCCTTCTAGTAAAGGCAGTTTGCTGGCTCCTGTCCAACTTGGTGTCCACCAGCACCACCAGTCCTTCCTACAAAGCTGCTTTCCATCTGGCCAGCTGCAGCACATGCTGGTCCTCCTTGCAGCATGGGGCTGTTCCTTTTTACATGCAAGACTTTCCATTTGCCTTTGTTGAACTGCATGAGTTGTTGCATCACCCTGCCCC